CAAATGTTATTTAGGAGTTTGTTGGATTTTATGCTACCAAATATGCACAATGCCATGAAATAATATAAGTTCGTTAGGAACTAAACTTATTTTAGGAAACGTTTATCATCCTAAAAGATTATGTTAATTTAACTGGGTTTTGTCATCGTCCTAAAAAAACATATTTGTGCCATTCTTTAACTATTTTTCCTTATCTCAAAATCATATATATATATATATATATATATATGGATATGGATATGGATGTGTGTGAAAATCATATACACATACACATTCTAAAAATATGGATGTGTGCATAATTAGGACCGGAGCGGATGTTACAATTCAATTCCGAAAAATTGAACTGAAAAATTCGATATCATTCCCCAACCAAAATGTTTAAAGATTGCGAGTGGTGATAGTTTTAAAAAATTTAATATCACAAACGGAACCGAATATTAAAAAATCTGAAACAAACGAAAAATTTATTAATTTTTCGTGATAAAATCTAAAATCAAACCGTAATAATAGATAGTATGAATTTTTTTAGAAATGAAATACCTAAATGCCCACTCTATAATGATAAATTTTCTAATAGTCATTTACTCACATCATTTCCGCCAGAGCTTGTCCCTTGTTCTGCTATGGCATCTTACCATGTCAGAAATATTTCAAACGATTTTTTAAGAATTTTTTAAAAATAAACGGAATATATATATATATATATATATATGTATAAAAGATATCTAACATTCCTTATCTATATGTATAAGAGAGAAATACTGCGTCTGCGTTTCCCACAGACTTCGGTTCTCTTCTTTCTCCTTATAGCTCACACAGGGAAGAGACGCGAACTTCTTATGCGGATCTTTTCATGAAATTTGCGTTTTTTTTTTTTATCAAAATTCTTTATATTTCATTTTTTAGATATTAGTTTACCGTTTTTTATTTTTATCAAAACTCTTTAAATTTGCGTTCGGGTTTTTTTTTTTATATCAAAACTCTAATTGATCGATATAAGAGAATTTTTTTCAAGTTTGTAAAAGCATGCAAATGAAAGATTACAGTGTTAAATAAGGTTTAAAAAATCCGTTTATGAAATTAATTGGATTAATGCTCACCTCCTCAAGTTGTCAATCAGACGTTCTAGTTGGATTAGGGTTTCTAATGAGAGTCCAAAAAAAAGTTTGCCATATTATTTATATATACACCTTCAACCAAATAACATGTAATCACCAAGATTTCACATTAATAGACTCATATAGTCGGACCAAATATATATATATATATATATATATAAGTTTCAATATCTTACTAATGTAAAAGTTGAAAACAAGCTTGCTCACCATCAATACTTTGTTTAACTTATATTTGCAAAAGAAATGAATCAACAATAGCTCGAATATTTTTCTTGAGTTTAACTTTGCTTTCATTCAAAAGCACAAACAAACGTATATTTGTACAAATACATGTATGCGGACATACATACATACATACATACATATATGTGTACATAAGCATGAAACATGGGTTGCCAGAGAGGAAGAAGCCAAGAGAGAGATCGTAAAGATTTCAATGTCTATCTGTCCCTATCCAGAAAACGAAAGAGGTGGACAAATGCTTGGGTATACACAATGAAGACCATGCATGTGAATTTTAACCGCTTTAACTATTCCCACACAATATAAAATATAACTTATACATTAATTTCCATCATAAATAGTAAAATAAAATAAAATAAGTTCTCCTTCCAAACTAAATAAAATAAAATAATGCAATTATGTCAATTCATCTAAGTCAACAAGCATCATAGCTCATATAGGCAATATATATATATATATATATATATATATATATATAATATAAAGACATGAATATATAATCGAATAATGTGGGAGAAAAAAAGAAAAAAAGAAATGATGCAAAGAAGAATATGGAATATGTATAAATGGTGGGTGGGGTAAAGAAATGGGGAGACCAGAGAGAAGAGAAGAGGAGGAAGAAGAACGGTCAAAGACAAGAGCATAATGGTCTGCCCAAAAAAACTTTCTCGGTGTCAGGCAAGAGAGGTGAAATGAAAGCACTGAAAGCTCCTTTTAGTCATCATTTCTTTATATATATATATATGTATATTATATTATACGAATGATGATGAAATGTTATTAAATGAAGCATCTATTGCTCTTCGAGTCCTGCATGTGTATCCGAGTACAAAATCTACCAAACTTGAGAAGCTCTACGTACACTGGTTTCCTCTTCAATCTGTGTGTCTACACTTTGAATTGATGCTCTCTCTCTTTTTTATTTTTTTCTTTTTTAACCATTAATTCTCACCGTTTATATTTATAATATTCGATAAAAATGTTTGGAATATGTCAATATTTATGTTAAAATATATATAGTCCGATATAGAAGAAAATGTACTTACGTAGAAGAAATGAAACACGAAATCATGTGGCTTTGCACGTTAAGTCCAATAAGCGCGTTGAATGAGAGAATATGTAAATTACGACTTAGGGGTAATTATATATAGATTAGTTGGACAACACAAGTCACTAATTATGTAAAATGCAATTTAATCGAATAAGGATCTTATATTGGAAAAACATTACAAAGATGGACAGCATGCGCGCATATGTTTTCATGAATATCTCGTATCTTTGTAAATATCAACTTTCTTTCTTGTTATAACATTCCGAATTTTTTTTTTAAAAAAAAAATTGAATTTAAATCTCTAAATTAGATAGAGAATATTCAAAGTTTACTTAATAACTAAATTTATATGATATCATAATTTGTATTTGATTTATTTTTCTTTTATTATTTTAAAGATTTATCAAAGGAACTGAGATCTAAAATTTTATTAGCTTCTTGTGATGATTACGGATAACGGAAATGATACAAAGTGTGACCATAAATATAAAATTTGATATATAGTCTCTCGGGCACATACAAATAACATCTAAAACTATCATATCTTCCCCCTTGCAAATAGCAGCACTTTCTAAATACATACAATGGATTTGTGTATGTGTAAGTATATGCACCAAACATATATATATATATACACACACATGCATGGGGTATGACGGATAGTCCACGTGTACGCGTATGCTTATTAGATCTAGCTATATATATATATATATATATACTACTTTATTATATTAAGCTGATTTGTGTATATATCAATGTTTTGAACCCTTTAATCCATGTAGTATTAGAGGCCAAGGAATCAAATATGAGCAAACGATATATTCGAAGTGTCTCGATACAAAGGGGTAAACATGAAAATCTATCCATGTGAGCTTTGTGCTTTTTCTTCTCCCTAACTGTGGGGTCCTTTTTATTTAATTTCTCAACGTAACATCTTCATATATATATATATATGCTCTTTTGTAAAGATACGTTTTATATGATTTTGTTAATACGATATGATTAAACACGGAAAAGGAACTATAGGGTATATTATGAATATGAGTTTGATTTGACATATGATATCATATACCGTTGATTACGATGATTTAATCAAATACCACATCATATATATGTGTATATATATATATATATTAACACATGATTCATGCATCTTTTGTGTTTTGTGTGAATAAAAGCTGCAAATTGTTGAATATAGGGTTAAATATGTTATAAATATTGCTGGTATTTCAAACCACTAAACGACATATTTCGGATTCAAATAGATTAAATAATGCAACTCATTACTCGAATTTTCTTTGTAGATGATTCATTATCCGAATTTTCTTAATATACCAAATAATCTACATGTCGTTCTGAGATCCGAAAATAAATTAAGCGGTCCAAATATCCCAACTGTTCCCGTCTTTTATCTCTTGTGTATGCATATAAATATAGAACCGAAATATACTTTGTGTTTGTGCCTATATATACACACGCGTATATATCGAAGAAAAGAAGTAACATAGAGAGAGAGAGAGAGAGATCATACGTACAAAAAATCAAAAAGAGGTACAGTTTCGTTAACTGAACACTGAACTGAAAAATAAATGAAAGTGTTGGTAAAAGGAAAAAATAAAATAAAAATAAAAATAAAAATAAAAATAAAACGAAAGTAAATATTTCATAGGAATGAATCGAAATCAATGGCAGTTTTTTTCCATTAGTCTGTCAGACTCATAAACACTTGATTTCGATTTTCATGGAAAATAAAACAGTCCCCCATTTTACGTAAACCCCCCCTGGTCGGATTTTATAATATTAAAATCCTAATTTTAAAATATTAAATGCAAGTTTAACTTGATACTTATACCAGTTGATACAACGAATAAAACAAAACTACATTTAATTTCTGTCATTTATACACATTATACATTCTGTATGTTCATATATATACATATATATATATATATATACGTGATATTTAAATTGCTCAATTGACTGTATTCAAAGTTGATGTATTAAGCGCGCTTTGGTTTGATTTTATGGCGAATAATTTATGCAATTACACCAATACTTGATGTGAAAAAAATTAAGTGGGATATTAATTTTAAAATAAAAAAAATAAAAACCCTAAGTGGGATATTATTTTCTCAAAGTAATAAAAGGAAAATGACATGGCGACGTATCCAACAGAAAAGTTAAATTCATTTAATCAATGATTTCTTCTTTTCAACAATGGCAGCTCAACTGCTGCAATTGTACATGGAACTTATACGACTTCAAAACAAAACCAGAGTTTATAAAAAAAACAAAAAAAAAAATTACTTTTCTGGTGAAAGAGATGAAGAGCAGTTTATAAGCATAAGATGGATTCACTTGTAAGCCATTCGTCATATATCAAACAAAAGATATACATTCCTTAGGTATATAATATATAATTAATTATAAATAGTAATATATTCAATTTTCTTACTCCGTCAACCACCATAAATAAATTCAAATAATATATATATATATATATATATAAGCCTCTAGTGGTGGGTCTAAACTCGTTATATAAAGGAGGTTAGATAGTGAGGGTTTTCTACCTCTCTTCCCCCAAAGGAAGTTTTACACAGAAAAAAAAAAGGAAAAAGAAAAGAGGAGAGGAGACGTGAACCAAAAAAAAAGATTTTTTTTTTCCTTTTTTAAAATTATTATTAATGGAAGAACATCTCAGTCCCCTGGTTGTGACTCATCTCCTGCAACACACACTGAGAAGCTTATGCATCCATGAAAATTCTCAGTGGGTTTACGCTGTTTTTTGGAGGATCTTGCCAAGAAATTACCCTCCCCCCAAGTAATCTCTCTCTCTCTCTCTCTTCCTCTCTCTATCGCATAGATATATGTATGTGTATGTACATGCGATCAATAGCCATAGTTCTTAAGTTTCTTGTGTTTGATTTGTTTGTGGTTTCAGATGGGATGGTCAAGGAGCATATGATAGATCAAGAGGAAACAGGAGAAACTGGTAACAGAGGCATCACTCCACATATACATACACACCGACACATATATATATATCCATCTTTTTTTTTTGGCCAATCTTTAATTTTCTCGAGTTTAATGATTTTACCCATATAAGTTATGCCCTTTTTATGTCTGTGTATAGCGTACAAATGAACCCTTTCTTTTTTCCTTTGTTGAATACATATGAACATTTCCGTATGTTGTTGTAACAATATATGTTTGTGTGTGTGTATATGTTAGGATATTGGTGTGGGAAGATGGGTTCTGCAACTTCTCAGCTTCTTCGGCGGAGATGAGCTCCGGCGAGTGTTCCGCCGGCGCCGCCGCCGGAGGATCGTCGATGTACGGAAACTGTGATTTGCAACAATACCAAGGGCTTCAACCTGAGCTTTTCTTCAAGATGTCTCATGAAATCTACAATTATGGAGAAGGGTCTGTGAGGAAAAAAATCTATATATGTATATATACACATATATATATATCTATATGTATACACACATATACATAGTAATGATTTAGTTTAATTTATATGCCTTTTATTGTTTTCTTTTTCCTTTTGATGTCATAGCTTTTTAATATGGTTTTCTCTCCTTTTGGGGTTTCTCTCTTTAGTCGTGTACATGACCAAGAATGTTTCATCTCAAAATCGGATTCTCTAATTGGATACTTAGGACATTAATTAATTATTCTAATAACATACTTAAAACAGTACACTAGCCTATGGATTATGACTTTTTTTATAAAAAAGATTAGTCAAAGCACTTTTTGAGGTAATCATCCACAGCTTTAAGAAAGTCTTGTCAATAACTTGTGATGAGGCGTGTGAAACGTGCGGATTAGCTGAGTTTAATTAAATCAATGTTAAATAATTATAATTAGATAATGAGGGTTTTGTTTAATTATTAACTAATGGTTATGATTCCACCTTTTGTAGGTTGATAGGAAAAGCAGCTGCAGATCACAGTCACAAGTGGATTTACAAAGAGCCTAACGACCAAGAGATCAATTTCTTGTCTGCTTGGCACAATTCTGCTGACTCAGTAAGCATATCATACATATACATATACATATACATATACATATACATATACATATACATATTTATTACCCTGTAATAAAAGAGAGAAAAGCATACTATGCATGTATGTATATGTGTGTGTGAGTGTATAGATATGTATTCTGTAAGGCATTTTAGCATCACCTTTTGAGTCTTATCTGTGCAGTACCCTAGGACATGGGAAGCTCAGTTTCAGTCTGGAATCAAGGTATCGCTTCACTGTTTACTCATGTACTATCGTGTATATATATATATATATATGTGTCTATACATGTATATGCATACACGACATGCTTATATACACCCATTTTCAAACTTTCCCAAATATCAAAGATGAAAGCATAACTATTCACGTAAAATGTTTTGCAGACCATTGCCCTGATTGCTGTTAGAGAAGGTGTTGTCCAATTAGGAGCTGTTCACAAGGTTCTCTCTATCTCCCCCCCCTCTCTCTCTATATATATGTGTGTGTGGGTATCTACGCATATGTGCATATACACATGTATGTGTCATCAATCGGACAATAGTAATAACTATAAAGGGTAAACATAAACATATAGAGAAGGGTTGGAAGATGCAGAACACACATATTTACATGAAAAATGCTTAGTAGACAGATCAACAGTTCAAATGAAAAAATGAAATGCACAAATTTACATGGAATAATCTCGAACAGATATAACAGAATTCAAGTCATCAATATCCTGAAGCAATATATATATATATATATATATGTGAAATATGTGTTCGACTAATATATATGAAAATATATGTGAAGGTGATTGAGGACTTGAGCTATGTGGTAATGCTAAGGAAAAAGTTCAGCTACATAGAGAGCATCCCAGGAGTCCTGCTCCCGCACCCTTCATCCTCCGGTTACCCTTTCATCAACGGCTCTCCTTCTGACACGTGGCACTTCCCCGTCGCTCCACATCCGCCGCCACCGGAAAACCACCACCACCACTTCTACCACCACCAGCCACCGCCGCTTCCGATGAAGATAACGCCGTCGATGAGCAGCTTGGAAGCTTTGCTGTCCAAGCTTCCGTCGGTCGTACCGCCGCCGCAGCAAGGGTACAACCCTTATCAGCACGGCAGCTCCAAAGAAGAGTTCACGAGGAGCACCCATGGCGACCAAAACGACGCCGCTTACAGGGCTCATCATCATCACCATCATCATGTGGTGGGTGAGTGTAGTAACTATCGCAATGACAGTAATGATGTTTATGATGATCATAGCAATGATAATAATGGTAATTATGATAGAGAGAATAAGGTTAGCGGGTTTCTAAGTGAGAATTATTGAGTCTGATAAAAGTTTTTTTTTTCAAAATCTTCGTACAATAAGTATAAATGTACTAGAGTTTTCGTACTCTGACATTTTTTTTTGTTTTGTAATGATTTGTCTTGTTTCTAACATAGTACGTAGATTTCCATGTTTCATGGTAGTTGTGTTAGATATTCAGATTCCATGTCACAAAAATGATATTATGTACATTTTGATAAAATCAATGTATTTTTTTTATAGAAAAACCTGTATAAATAACTCTCATGCCAAATAATATAGATTTTTAATTTATTTAATTAATACCTACATGTTAAAATACTTTACATTGGCACAATTTAAAAAATCGATGACAATCTCTAGCCTCGAATTATGAAATTGAATGAATTATTAAAGTTTTCCGATAAGTTATTGTGACATTAATTATTATGCTCCATTTGCTGCTACTAATTTTATTTTAGATTTTACCTTTAATCAAAACAGATAATTTACCAAACGAATAAACAAAACGGATCAGTGATGTTTAATCAACGTTAGAGTGACATTAATTAGGACGGAATTCAAGCGATTGATTAGGGGAGGTAAATCATTTAAATTATCACATCGAGTGTAATTAAACTAACTTGACTATATAAATAGTATGTAAATTATTATCATTAAAAAATTATACGAGAAGATAAAAACCAAAGGGATAGTAACTATTTAACTGATATAACTACGAAATTTGCTTTTAACCGTAAATTCTCTTTTGTATTTTGGTCGAACGATTGTCCAGGAGTAGTTTTTTCCTATTGTAGCGAATGATTGTCTTTTAATTTTTTTAATTTAATCTATTAATTTTCGGGAAAAAAACATATCAAAATCATCTTTTAGCACTTTAAAAAAACACCAATCTCAATAAGAATATATATATATATATATATATATAATAAGCTTGAAAGTGAAGAGTGCGTGAGATTTGCAGGATTCAGTTCTTTCTATTTTCGTAAAATTGACCCCCATAGTATTTATTGCTATTTTTGCCTAGACCCCAATTAATTGAAAACGAACAGCTTCGTCCCTCAATGCTTCACCACGTTCTTTGTCGGTCGAGTTTTGAGTAGGGCCGGAGATTTCAGAGTATATACGTATCCGTATTATGGATATATATATATAGGAAGATGAATGCCATACTAACGATATCCATACCAAATTTTATTTTTAAATAAATAGACAGAACGAATTATTTATTCATGCAACAACAACAAACATACAGACGCAGGCTAAATAATGAAACTAAAAACCTAGTTCTGAAGCCCTTAGAACACGTGAAAATGGAAACAATAAACCAAAACGCTATCAAATAAAAAGAAATATGTATCGTCATGAGAGAAAGGGAGTTCTAAACGATACCCTTTAGCATTTTGTTCAATTAACCCGAGATAACTTTATAAAATACACCTTTTGTAACTTTGGAGTATATTTGGAACGTTTATTTTTTTTTATAAACCCATATAAATACCTTTTTCCAAATAAACACTCGAACCTGATTTTAGAAAAAAACTTTACCCCATCCCCTTTACCAGTTAAATCACCTGATCTTGGTTGTATATTCGGAATGTTGGATACCCATTATCTGAAATATCCGAAATATGAGATCGGGTTCATGATGGATCTAGGGTTGGATCGGACATAATTAAATTAATTACTCCATGAGAATTTCACCAAAGGTGTATTTCCATTAAATGTAGATGGCAGAAAGTAGAAACAGAAAAAGAAGGTAACAATGGAAAAATGAGAGCAGAGAGACTAAGGGTGCAAAAAAGAGTATCTATAGAGATGAAAGGGAATCGTTAATGAAGGTGTTGTATACATATTGTTTGCAGTTTTCTGCAAATTCACTTGGATCCAGCGAGGGGCTAATGGTAACGGAAGCATCACTCACACAGACTCTGAGAGTTTACAAACGACCGGCACGGAAATGATGATCTGAATCGAAATATGGGACTGAGGAACTTCTATTTACGGAAACAGAACAAGATGGATACAGAAATTCAAGAAGCACAGCAACTTATTACGTCAGTAAGCATATTTAGGCATTTAAGTTATTGAAGAAAACAATCACATTCCGTAACCAATCAAGCATTAAAGAAAGAGGTAGTAGCAAGAGACAAAAGATAGTGCAGAAGAGAGAAAACATACTACTTTTCTCGGATTCAATCGCCTAAATCCAACAAGGAATTCATAGCATTACCTTAACACACTCCAAGATGGTAGCTTAGCTCTGTGTCTCTGCCTGTGAAGTCTGAACTGATTGTGTATCAACAGTCATAGCCCTCATCAGCATGTTCAGCGCCACATATCTGAAAGTAAGACCCAACATCAACATCGTCAGCATGAATTCTCCATTTTCACTCATTTCGGTTTGAAGTTAAATCTTCTGAAATTTGCAACAATTTCAAGTCATTTCTAATGACTCGTTCACAAGTAAGACCCAAAGATAAAATTTTCTTGGTAGGACCAGTGGTCAATGGAGACGCAAAAACTACTAATAGAAATTTTGGCTTACCATTCGGTTTAATTCAAGGGCCTCTGTACTGAGTTTACAGAGCTCGGTGCAAAGTTGAACTCATGTTATGAGAACACCGTGATGCTTTTCTTTGAGAAAAGCTGCAGCAGGATTCACAAAGATCTCAGCAAGATCTGGGACCGTCCTGATTATTCGTATGGACCACAGCTGAGCTGCCTGCGTGCTGGAAGATTAATCAGTTATAAAACTATCAATAACTATAATATGTTAACCGATTAGTATTCTTCATATTTCTGGAAAGTTCACAATATAAAGGTGGATAATTGGGAATAAGCAATAAACAACATCATACTTGTTAGGCATTTATTTGAAAGTTAATCCACAGACATTCACCCAGAAATACATCTAACAAATTCTTTATGAAAAAAAGTTTCCCAGTTAGATGCAGAATGGCAAGATACAAGCCTAAGGCCAGAAGGATGAAAGAGACAATTCTCCTTCAGAAATATAATTGCAGCAACAACCAAAGCAAATATTTTACCAACAAAATGTGTTCTCAGAAAATTTAATCAAAACAGGAGGTAGCTCGACACACATAGAGGGAAAAAATAGGATGGGATAAGAGAGCCTTCTAACTGCAGACAAAGAGAATTGATTGTTTAGGCAACCAACATAACATATGAGCATCACAACCTATGATGCATTATTGTTTAAATTTTACATTGCAGCCGATGCCTACAAGTTTGACATATGGTTTGTGTTAAAGGCTAATATACACATAGATTCTTTATAAACACCAATACCACACATAATTCAGCAGTTATCAGCATAACTTGGATCCACTTAAAGCAAGCAGGTTATCTTAACTCTGGAAGATGTCCATATATTTCCATAACCATTCCATCTTAAAACCACTAATTGTCTGGAAAGGCAGACAGGAACAGGAGATACTCACTTTCTTCCTTATATTGGAATCACAAAATTGAAGTAATATTTCAACTTCAGGTGTAAGATCACGAGCCATCTCTGCTGAACAAATATTTCCTAAAGCATAAAGAGCAAGTCCCACAATATACTGGTTCGTGTGGTTCAGGTCTCTGGAAATAAGCCAAGGTTATCATAAGGAGAAATTAAAAATTATTATCACCAACTCTCGAGCTCCAACTCTCAGTAATCCTAGTCATGTCCACTTACCAAGAAGTTGGCTTGAGACTTGAGAGAGAAAGAAAAGATTAAAACGGGTTACCAACAATTAAATGAGAACTATTTACGGCTACTAAATTGAAAATCTACACCATGAAGGATACTGTTTCAATGAGTTTATGACCAGCATTAGAACGTCCTGCCTTTCATCAAGAAGAAACATTAAACCTAGATAACCGATCCCCTTCTCTGGAAAACCACGAGAAGCAATCAACTTTAGGCATTCCATCTGCCCAAAATGCGTGCGGTACCCAAGCATGTGAATGAACATGAGCTTTTCCAGATTACGGTGGCTGTAGTCTTGGTCATTCTCATTAATTGAAACACGAATTGCGACACATTCTTTCCTTACAACAGCGAGTTTTACATGCACGTATAGCCTGCATCATGTCCCTGCACCAAAATAACATTTTTGTACACACTATAATTCCAAAGCTAAAAGGATTAGGCTGGTAATATTCCATGCCAGTAGAAATACACCAAAGTTTTCATCGTTAAAAAGATTCTGAAAGATTGGAAGAAAAATTCAGAGAAGGGGAAGCTAAAAGAAACAACAAAGCATAACAAATAACTACATTTGAATTGTGAACAATGACACCAGATGAAAAACAAAACCCAACTTTAATCATCAAGTCTAATTGTCTAAATGAATTAAGGCAACTTGAAATGGGAACATGGTACGCTCTCTATCAAAGTGAAGAAAATGAAAGCTAGAACAGAAATCGAGAGAAGGATTCATCAGCGAAAGAAAGAGAAGTTTGTGAAACATTTTCTGATTTTCTCATAAATTGAAAACAACAAGTGTCATAACACTTTATACAACCTGAAAAATAAAGCGGAAAACAGAAAAACGAAATTCAAAATAGTAAACCAAAAATAACAAACCGTAACAACCCAAACAAACCAAAACAACCGAGAAAATACTCTCTAATACTCCCCCTCAAGATGGAGAATACAAATGATGTATTCCCATCTTGGCCAAGAGATACCGAAATTGATCAATGTTGGAAGGTTTGGTCAAGATATCCGCAATCTGCTCCTTGCTTCCAACATGTAAAGACTTCACAAAACCTGCCTTCAACTGTTCCCTTACATAATGACAATCCAATTCTATATGTTTCGTCCTTTCATGATAAACCGGATTGTTAGCTATATGAATAGCTGACTGACTATTGCAGAACAAGGGAACAGGAGTAGGAAAGACAACAGACAAATCACGAAGTAGAGAACTGAGCCAAACCAGTTCGCAACATGTCTAAGCCATCGATCTGTATTCTGCCTCCGAAGAACTTCGGGAAATGGTTACCTGCTTCTTTGCTTTCCATGAGACCATAGAAGAACCAAGAAACACACAAAATCCTGTAACAGAACGTCTAGAATCGGGACACGCAGCCCAGTCCGCATCACAATATGCACTCAATGATATATCAGAATCTGTAGCATACAGCAAACCTTGTGATGGATCATTTTTCAGATAACGCAGAACTCGCATCCCTGCCTGAAGATGAGCCGACCTTGGTTGAGACATATACTGGCTCAATTTGTTAACAGAGAAACAAATATCTGGCCTAGTAATAGACAGATATATTAATTTCCCAATTAACTTACGAAACAGAGTAGGATCTTCCAAAATGTCACCAGATTCCAAAGAAAGCTTCTGCGTCACATCCATTGGTGTTGCTATAGGTTTGCAACCTAACATTCCAAATTCTTCCAACAACTCTAATGTATACTTCCTTTGGCAGATGTATAAACCTTGTTTAGATCTTGCTACCTCAAGACCAAGAAAGAATTTGAGTTCTCCCAGATCTTTAATCTGAAACTTGGAACTCAGAAACTTCTTCAAGGCATCAATCAAACAAGCATCATTGCCAGTAATAAGGATGTCATCAACATAAACTAAAGCTGCTACAAAGGAAGCACCATGTTTACGTGTAAACAGGGAAGAATCTGCAACAGACTGAACATAACCAGCCTCCAAAAGTACCTGGGATAACTTCTGATTCCATTGGCGACTAGCTTGCTTCAAGCCATAAAGAGACTTTTGCAATTTACAAACAGAGCCTGCTGGAACAACCTCCCCCTGAAGCTCAGAATATCCCTGTGGTAACGTCATGTAGATCTCCTCATCTAGATCTCCATTGAGAAAGGTATTAGAGACATCCATTTGTTGCAATAACCAATTATTAACTGCAGCCAAGGCTAAAAGAACTCTAACAGTGGTCATTTTTGCAACCGGACTAAATGTTTCCAAGTAATCTATTCCCTCTTGTTGTGTATATCCTTTAGCCACTAACCTTGCCTTGTGTCTCTCAATAGTACCATCAGGATTATACTTAATTTTAAACACCCACTTACATCCCACAGGATGTTTTCCTTCAGGTAATTGACATACGGTCCAAGTCTGAGTTCTAGACAAAGCATTCAACTCAAGCTTCATAGCTTCTTTCCAATCATCTGATTTCACGGCCAGAGAAAAGGATTTAGGTTCACATGTAGAAGAAATCTGGAGGATAAAGTTTCTGTAGGTTGGGTTTAAACGGTCATATGAAACACAGGTTTGTATAGGATATGGTGTAGTAGTGGGAATGGGAGGGGGTTTGTGATGGGTTAAAAGATAACAATGATAGTCAGCTAGATAAGCTGGAACTTTAGTCTGTCTACGTGTTCTATCACTCATTTCTGATATCACAGTTATTTCAGGAGTATCAATCACATTATCAGCAGGAGGAGAAACAATTTCAGAAGAAACAGAAGGCTGTACAAAAGAGGAGGAATCTGGAACAAATGTATCATATAAAATGTATGATGATGGAGAAGAGACAAAAGAATCAGCAGAAATTGAATCAGAAGAAGAATGAGAAGAGTGAAAAGGAAACAATGTCTCATGAAACACAACATTCCGAGAAATAGATGTCATGTTTGTTTGCAAATTTAGAACTTTGTAGCCCTTGTAACCACTTGGATATCCTAGAAACACACACGGGACAGCTCTAGGAGAAAACTTGTGTCTGTCTTTTAAAACAGTAGAAACATAACACAAGCAACCAAATACTCTAAGATGTGAGTAATCTGGTTTGACACCAAGAAGAACCTCATAAGGAGATTTGTTATTCAACAAAGGAGTGGGGGTCCGATTAATTAAGTAAACTGAGGTTAAAACACAATCACCCCAATATGCCAAAGGAATTTTGGATTGAAAGAATAAAGCTCTAGCAACATTAAGTACATGTTGATGCTTACGCTCCACAATAGAATTCTGTTGTGGAGTATAAGGACATGAGAAAAAGTGAATAATCCCCTGTTTAGACAAAAAATCAGTAAAGAGAAGCTCAGGGGCATTGTCTGTTCGAATTGATTTTACTGAAACTTGAAACTGAGTTTTAACCATGGAAACAAAGTCTGGAAAACGAGAACCAACATCACTTTTGTCGCGTAAAAGGTATAGCCATGTAACTCTAGAACAATCATCAACAATGGTTAAAAAATATCTGTAACCTTCCACTGTAGGAACTTGAAATGGCCCCCATACATCCAAATGTAAAAGATCAAAAGGATTCTTAGACATATTGACATTGGTGGTGGAGAAGATGTGAAATTAGAATCATTGAATTGAGAACCATGTTGCTTAAGCTGAGATGCATATTGTGCTAACAACTCTTGAGCTTGTTCCAAGGGGCTCTTCATTGGCACTGCAGAAGAGCTTGTAACAGATTTAGCTTGCTCAGAACCACAATCAGAATCAGCACCAACCAGATTGACATGTTTCTGAAATTTGTCATAAGGAACATTCCTTGAATTCTGAGAAGATCTATTTTGATTCCAGGATTTCTGGAACTGTGGTGTAGAAGTCTTGTAACCTGGAGGAAAGCCATGTATATGATAACATCTGTTCACTGTGTGGCCTACCATGCCACAATGAGTACAAACAGGCCGAGGCCTATCCTGAGACTGAAATCGAGGTTTGTCAGACTGAACAGAGACATCAGAACGTGAAGGATTAGGCAAAATACCAGATCGAGGCCTAGATTGATAGGCTTGTGTCTGAAACACAGCCTGATCAGAGTGTGATCCCAAGATATGTTGGGTTCCCTTCGGGTTCCTAGCATGCGATCTCATCGATCTAGGGTTTGGATTCTAGGTTTCACGCAGCGGAAGGAAAGATCTAAACCTAGCCAAACGTCACACAAAACCAATTGTGCAATAACCTGAACAATCGTGTATATCGTCGTGGGATTCGAATACTTACCTCGTTCTTTCAAGATCTGGAAGTATCAATCGATCCATCATGCAAACAAGCAACAGGCATGGCGATACCTGATCAGAGTGTGATCCCAAGATATGTTGGGTTCCCTTCGGGTTCCTAGCATGCGATCTCATCGATCTAGGGTTTGGATTCTAGGTTTCACGCAGCGGAAGGAAAGATCTAAACCTAGCCAAACGTCACACAAAACCAATTGTGCAATAACCTGAACAATCGTGTATATCGTCGTGGGATTCGAATACTTACCTCGTTCTTTCAAGATCTGGAAGTATCAATCGATCCAGGGCCTGTTTTAATCACCAAGAGTTAAAAGCACAACTCCTCTACACGTATCCACACCGGCGGGATGAATTCCAACACCTTGGAACGTATCTGCTAGGATTTGTGTAGAGAAAACGATGTCCTTGACTTGGAATCGATATTCCAATCACTAGAACTCAATATCAAGCTTCTCTAAGCTCTCATGAGTGTCTTGGACGTCTGAGGTTTGTTCTCTAGGGTTCGTGGTGGCTCTCTCATTAATTAGAATTGCCCAAAACCCTTAAAACGCGAAATAGGAAATCTGCCCGAAAGTCGGACCGTCCGGTCTAGGTCTTGGACCGGACGGCCTGGCTTTCCACGCGGAACGGAGGTCCGTAATCCAATGCAGAACGGACGGTCTTGATGCCTGGACCGTCCGGTCCACACCTGGCCCGGACGGTCTGGCCATTTGCGGAACGGACAATCCATTTCTACTGGAACGGACGGTCCGAATTGGCTGGCCATCTGGAACTCTTCCAGATCGCTCCGTCGCTCTTTTCTCGCGTTGTTCTCTTCACGTGTGATCCATCCCTAATGGTGTGTGACCCTGTAGGCCCACTCGAAGTGGCAGTGGCTTCGGAAACATTTCCCGAACCACAAGTCATGGTTAGCCTCTAGCAAGACGCCACGACCACCCACCTAGAATAGAGTTAGAGGTGATCTAACAAAGCCAGCAATAGTTCGAGTTCTGATCCTTTGTCTCACGATGTCATATGTTGAACAAGGGCATGGTATGAGCCACCCTTCAAGTTCAACCGCTTACTCGTCTAGGCAAACCGACTGATAAAATAGATGTACATTCATCTATAGCGTGGCCACGCATTTTCACAGTCCGATTTCCACGAGGGGCCCAGCGACATCTCTCCTGCGCAGGAGGTGACAAGTCCCGTATTGCATGTCTACTATCTGCATATGATTCGTGAACGTATCTGAGCAACGCCGTTATGATCATCCGGTTAAAGACGACGTTTGACGCAGTCAAGACACGTTCTCTCCTGTGTAGGAGGTGACAAGTCCCGTATTGCATGTCTACTATCTGCATATGATTCGTGAACGTATCTGAGCAACACCGTTGTGATCATCCGGTTAAAGACGACGTTTGACGCAGTCAAGACCCGTCACTCCTCATATCAGATACTCTAGACATCTCAGGTCTGAGGATCCAAGAACGAACCGCTGTATGAGATTCAAGTCATGACTCATGTCCATGTGACAATCTCATGCGGGTCATCCAGTAACTCGTTCCAAACGAGAACCCATGATTGTGATTTGCATCCAATGCACATGATCATAATCATCTATCACACATCATGCTGGTCTTAATTCATCATTGTTACCACAATGATAACTGACCAGGGAGTTTAGAATCATCTGCAATGAATCAAGGATATTTACCGTAATATAACAAACATGCTAATCATATAACGAGAAAAGTAATGCATTCTTAAACCAATGAATCAATACATAGTCAAAAATGTCATATCACGGATCATCGTAGAGCATTACAACCAACAATCTCCCACTATGCTCTATGATCTATCCTACAAGCATCTAATCCCCATACCCACAACATGACCATCATGCTTGGACGAAGGGAGAGGCTTCGTCAGCGGGTCG